GTCCCCCACCTCCTCTGCAAGTCTTTCCACACCACTGCTGTCCCTGTCTAAGCCATGGGTGTTATCTACCTGGATAAACCCAAATACTTTTTTCTATCTCCAGAGCCTCACTTCCTATGTAAAGTCTTAATTTGCTCTTGCAGAAGAATGCAGCTACTTCCTTCTCCACGCTCCTAATGCACATTCCACAATACATTGCCATGCATCCAACACACTTTGCCAAGGGCTTACCAGGTCCCAGATGCTGTATCAAGTGCCAGGGGCACAAAATGAGTTCAGAGTCTAGTGGTGGAGGCGCTCAGTTCAGCACAGGCCTCCAGTAATGTGACCAATGCTATCATTAAGGTCCTGAACGCTGCCCAGGGAGTCAAGAAGGGCGAACCGAGAGGGGACATTTGACCTAGGACTTGATATTTCTTAAGAGTTCAGATTTTTATTTTTGTCCCCTTGGATGTCCTCAAATGTCCTATCCTTGATACCCTCAACCCCATCCTGCATTTTTCCTTTCACCTCTGCTCTCATTGTTTCTGTTGTCACCTGTCCAAGGTCACTCTTAGTCGCCCCATCAGACAACCGTGTCTGTAACTGGAGACTGTCCCACATATGGAAAAGTTTGGAATACACAGACTCAAGAGAGTCACTGGAGGAGAAGTTCACATCTACCACTTTTGGGAGGCTGCAGTGAACCAGGCTGGGTATGGTGGTGGCTCAGAGCCAGCGGTAGGAGTGGAGGTGTGAGAAGTGGTGGATTCTGGATATATTCTGAAGGTAGATGAGGATGGAGTAGTTTGTTGTTGTGGTTTAGTTTTATGTTTGGGGGGGCAATGGATGGAAATCAGAAGCTTGGTTTTAAACATGTAGAGTTCGAGATATCCTTTAGACATCCAGGTGGACTTGTCAAAAACAGGCAGTTGGACATATGAGTCTGGAGTTGGAGGAAGTGTCCAGGCTGAAGGTGGAGAGGTGGGGTTATCAGTGTACAGTGGCACTAAAGCCATGAGACTGTGGGGCTCCTTAGGGAGTGAGGGTGGCCAGCAGAGACGACAGCGCTGAGCCTGAGCCCTGGGGTTCAGTTTTATTAAAATTAAATTAGAAAAAACAAAAGGAGATATTTGCATAGTCTGGTGTACTGTAAGCACTCAATAATGGTAGCGTTAATTTTCACTAACCTGTCCCAAGTCTTTAGCCTTAGAAATTCCCTGAAGGTAATTTGTTGTTTTGAGCTGTTTCCATTCCTTTGGCTTATGCTGATTCTTTCACCTGCAAGGCCCCATCCCCCTTTCTATGATTCATGCCCTTTCCATCCTTAAACATTCAGGTCAGAGATGTAGCCTGGAAACCTTCCCATATCAGCCCTACTTCCATGCTGATCTTCCCCCAGTTTGTGATGACAACAGAAATGCATTTGGGTTTGTGAGTGGCTTTACACACGTTGCGACCTGGAAATCCATTTCAGATGGAATGTTTTGTCTCCTGGGTTGTTCTCAATGAAAAGGATTGTGTTTCCCAAAGTGACCGCTAGTCAATGCTGATTCCTGAGACACCAATATGTAGAAAATAGAAGAATCTTAACTATTTCGACCTATTATGTGTAATAAATGTCTTTGGTTAAAAATATATAAGAAAGAAGTAAGTTTATTGCTATTTTAAAAAATATTGCTTAAGTTTTTAGCTTCCTAAGAAACAATTTTCCCTGGATTTCCTTCTCCCTAGCTATTTAGTTATTTATTTACTTATTTCCAGGCTATACATTCTAACTTCCCCAAATTCCTAGATAGTGGGAATCTTGAATTTTTTCAGTCGAATCAAAATGTTCCTCAAAACTGGAAAGACCAGTTATCTGATCTGTTCTTCCACTTCTGGGAACAGAGCTCAATATCCCTTATCTCCCGGGGTGGGGGTGGGGGTGGGGGGGACAAATCTTTTTCCTTTATAGCCTCCTATCAAGACGTGCTGAAATATAAACTGAATGAACCATTAAATAATTGATATAATTAAAGTTTGGAAGTTATTGTTAAACTCCTTGGATCTTATTTTATTTAACTTTTGTTTATTGAGAATAACGGTAGACAATGTTATTTAGGTTCTTGATTACTTTGCCGTAGGCACCTACCAGATTGGTGGAGGAGCAAAAGTTCCATTCTATTTCGAGGATGGCTTTTTGGATGGATGAAAACCTGCATGAAATAATTGGGTTGCCGAGTGTTTCTTGTCAACATGCTTCCTTTGCAGGTGTTAGAGGCACAAAAATTCAGCAATTATATTGCCACTTTAATCATAGCTTATGCTTCTTTTAAAGAACACATAATCTGTTATAAAAACGAGAAGTGAATATTCTTTCCTCTTTCCTCATCCCTTCTTTCACCATGCGAGAGCTAGCTCTAAATATCCAATCCCCTTTCACATCAGGGGTTCTAATCTTAGAGCATTGTGAGATGAGGGCTAATGATACATGATGGATAAATACTGCCCCCTTTTATGAAGACAAGACTGGAACCCATACATTTGTGTGTATTACAGAGGCTGTAAGCATTCTATCAGAGTTCTCAGTCTCCCACTTCTGCATACTGCACATGTATCAAAATATCTTTATAATTCTTTTTTTCCCTTTCCCTTCTCCCTGTTTTCTATGTGTGTTATTTGTTTTTTTATTTCTTAAACAGACATTTACTATGATTACATGGGTCAAGTTCTTTTGGGGGGGCATTTACAGAGGACGAAGATATGGTCTCCATGACTTATGCTTCTTGATGCAGCCTTGGGTAGACGTTTCTCTTAGGCTGGCAATCCACCTAAAAGACAGCGGCAAAATAGTATATGACTCATTTGCACAGGAGAGGCGCTCAGGCAGGAGCCCAGCTTCCTGAAGAAATTTCTTCTCTCTTATCAGAGCTATTTTCCTTGACATTTAATATGTTGGATAGAAAAGGGACTTCTGAGTCACAGAGCCACAGAACCCAGCAACGTGCTGGCTTGGTGTGTTAGTCACAGATCCTTTGGAACAGTGTGTCAGAAAGGAGAGAAAAAAAGCTGTTTCCTCTTCTCCTGAAAAACCATATGGCAGAATTTGGTCTTTCTTCATCACTTCTCATCTTCCTCTTAGCTTTCTAATTTTGTGATTCTCGTCAGGAAGAAAGAGGAAACATGGCAGCATAGTACGCCCCTTGATACGTGTATAGCCAACTGCCTTAAAAGTCCTTATTCTTTACAAAATACTTGAAGGTAGGTTTGAATTGCTTGTAAAATGGAGCCCAGCAGTAGTTTCCAGGACTTGGGGTTTTGCCGCGCACCTACACTTCTGCCCTTCAGGGGACACCATTAATCAATCCTCTCACAGTATCCTCAGGAGGCAAAGCATTTTCATTTTGAACAAAGTCGTGGAGGGTAATTGAATGCTCTCCAGCAATGTGTGGGTGTGAAATAGCAGTTGCTTAGTTTCACAGAGAAAGGCAGGTTTTGATTAAAACTTTGATGTGCCTTAGATGGGTAACAAGGCTCTGCAGTGCTTCCAAAGCCCGCAGCTCCTCAGAGAGCCTTCTGTGGGCCAAGGCTCAGCTAATGGAGGCTCCATTGTTTTTCCACAATTGGTGGCGAGGCTTTTAGGTTTTTGAGTGCAGTGTGTCCCGTCCATTTTCTCCAAGGAAAAGCAAGCCTTATCAGTTTTCTTGAATTGGATTTCCTTTTTAGTCTGTGAAGAGAATCAGAGCTGTGTAGTTAAACTGGAGACTGTCAAGGGTGGTAGGCATTTGAGTTTTTCCATCTGTGTTACGATACCTTTGGAGTCCTTGTGCTTAGACGGAGTTTGGCTCTTAATTCTGTGATTCATAAAAAGGAACCAGAGCCTGTTCATTTACCATGAGGCCCATACTAAGGCAGGAATCTAACAGCATTGAGAAGCTTTGTTAACCTAAAAATAAAATCCGAAGTGAGAGGCAAAAAGTGTTTATTTGAGATCAAGTAAATAGCTATTT